GACTGAATTATGAACACGTCAACATCTGAAGTGAAGCACGAGATATAATCGACATCTAGGATGCAGTTGGATGATCTAGACTTCGCGGATGATCTGGCTCTTCTATCGCAAACACAACAAAAAATGCAGGAGAAGATGACCAGTGTAGCTGCAGCCTCAGCAGTAGTAGGTCTCAATATACAGAAAGGGAAATCAAGATTCTCCGATACAACACAGCATGCACCAATCCAATCACAATTGTCTGAGAAGATTCGGAAGATGTACAAACCTTTACATATTTGGGCAGTATCATCGATGAACACGGTGGATCTGATGCAGATGTGAAGGCACGGATCGGCAAAGCAAGAGCAGCATATTTACAACTGAAGAATATCTGGAACTCAAAACATTTGGCCACCAACACCAAGGTCAGAATTTTCAATGCAAATGTCAAAACAGTTCTACTGTATGGGGCGGAAACCTGGAAAACTACGAAATCCATCATCCAAAAGATACAGGTGTTTATTAACAGTTGTCTACGCAAAATACTTCAGATCCGCTGGCCGGACACTATAAGCAACAACCTACTGTGGGAGAGAACAAATCAGATCCCAGTGGAGGAAGGAATCAGGAAGAAGTGGTGGAAGTGGATAGGACACATATTGAGGAAAACACCGAACTGCGTCACAAGAAAGCCCTCACATGGAATCCTCAAGGCCGAAGGAGAAGAGGAAGACCAAAGAATACATTACGCCGGGAAATGGAGATAGATATGAGAAAAATGAACAAGAATTGGATGGAACTAGAAAAGAAGGCCCAGGACAGAGTGGGTTGGAGAATGCTGGTCGGCGGCCTATGCTCGATTGGGAGTAACAGGCGTAAGTAAGTAAGTAAGTAAGAGGGGTATACGATAATAATGGTCTCATGATCAATGACCCTTTATACACTATAGGCATACTAAGTGTAATTACACTCCCATTTTGCTATGTCTTACCTTTATCTTCTGGGTAATTCCCTAAGGTTTGTACGATAAATTAGTTCACGTAAACATTTGAGAGGATTTTAAGGAGTGTATAGCATATTATTATATATATTCATGAGTAAGGATTCAACGATTTAAGATTTTCTAGTATCAGTTGGTTCTGCATCAGATTCACTTTCGTGTATCGTAATCCCTTTGAAATGTGGGAGGTGATATCATATTTACATGCTGTAAATAAGAAACCCCTATCCTGAACAATGATTTCCAACTGCTATTCGACCTCTTCATGTTTGCTTCCAATGCTCGACGCAGTACGTTCTTCGATATTCCATTCAGGATTCTAAGTAATTACCTGCATCATGATGCAGTTTGATCATTCAATCAATGTGTGTCCTATCCACTCCCGATGCCTGTTCCTAATTTCCTCTTCAGATGGAAGCTGGTCTGTACTCTCCCACGATAGTTTGTCGCTGATGGTACTCGGCCAACAGACATTGAGTATCTTGAGTAAACAACTGTTTATAAGAATATGTACAATCTTCACAATCGTTGTAGTAATTCTCTACATTTCAGTTCTGTACAGCAGGGCTACATTGACTGTCGTATAGAAGATCCTTACGGAATCCGGATCGTTGATGTCGAGGTTGGACGTCTACAGAATGTTTCATTCGGCTCAGCAACACTGTTGAAAACGTTTCCTTGCACCGATGTAGTGTGATGCGTGTATAGTTCTGACACATGCTCAGATTTCCTTTCTTTGACATCTTGATGATGCATCCTTCTTTACATGGGGCATGTTTGCATTTACTTCTATGTGTGACTTCAGTGCTTTAGCTGGTATACTGTCAGGTCCTGCTGCTTTCTCACTCTTGATTTGTCTGATAGCTATGTTGATTTGTTTGATCGTTGGTTGATTGACAGTTGTAGGAAGGTCTGTGTGTGCTGCTCCGATGTCTGGTGGGGTCAGTAGGCCTGGTCTATTCAAGAGTTCCTCGAAGTATTATACCTATATGTTCCTCTGTTCCTGAATCTCAGTGATTGGTTTACCTTCTTCGTCCTTGACTGGTCTCTCCGGTTTACTACATTTCCCTTCCAGTTTCCTTGTTGTGTCATATGGTAGTTTCATATTTCCTTCTCTTTCAACTTTTTCCACTGTCGTTGCTAGGTCTTCCACTTATTTTTGCACGTCAGCTCCAATGCTCCTCTTCGCTTACTTGCTTCTGTGTATCCGGTCTGTGTCTTCACATTCTCTGTTCCTGTTCAGCTATTGTTAATTGCTGTCTTCTTGTTCTTCCTTTCTTGAATCCTATCCAGGGTTTCGATAGAGACCAATTATTTATGATAATGATGATGCTTGTTGCGACTTAGCACCTCCTGACACATTGAAGTTAGTGCTTCTTTGATAACTTTATACTTGTCCTTCGTTCATTCGTTTATGTCGATATCAGTACACCTTGTGAGACGAAAAGGGATCACATTTTTTGGGTGAATTTTTTACCCTAAAAATTCAAAGTACTTAAATCAATACAAACTGTGATTTGAATATAAATCTTTTTAAGTAGTTTTTGGTGTATTTGTTTTACCCGAGCTTTGAACTTGGTTTGCTGATAATTTCAACTTTGAACCGCTAGTTTATGTTTCATATTCCGAGTTTGACTACTTAGATCTAAGAATTTAGGTCACCACGTCGTTTGGCTTAATGTTGTGAAATTATTAATCAGTCGTCTTTCATGAATGAGTCAGAGTACGAACTTCTGACTTGATAGTTATTAAGTAATGCCTAGGCTTTGCTTCACCAACTGAACATTTATACAGCTTTAAAAGCATATGATAGTAGATTTTTTCACGTTTATGTTCGAAGAGCATTGACCTCAAGACTCGGTCTTCACGACAATTTTTTCGACCTGAAATAAATTTCCCTATATTATGATATCCAGCTTTTGTTGTCACTGAGCCTGAGGTGCACCAGCTACTCAGTTCTTGAGAAATTCTAGCGACTTACAGATCATTATCAGCGCGAAGGATATAAAGGTTATTTCACAGTGGTGCTGCCCAAGTTTTTAACCTTTTCAGAAACCAGTTGATTTAACGTCCATAAATTTACCATGGCTAAACAGAATTGCACTAGGTTCAGCACCAGGGCAAGTCAAAAGAGATTTATGGAGATTTTCAATAAACAATTTCATGATACAAATACTTTTATTGCTTAGTTTATGGTGATCCTATTCATAGATCAGGTTAGTACAACGCTTATTTAGAGTTGGTTGTCAATGGTTGTCCTTAGGTAAATCACTATACTGTGCCCAGTTCACTTGTGTATTTGTTGTACCAACCTTCGGAGAGCATGAAATAGCAATCTGTATTATGGATAATTAATCAACCAAGACAATCAGTAGGAATTAAATTGCTGTGTTTTAAGGCGCTGATGTCAATCAAATTCTCAATGACTTTGCGGTATATAATGGGATATGATATTTTTTGCTAGTACTAAGATGGGGCTAAAGTCACTTAGTGCACCCTTACTTTCAGGTCAGAATGTAGAAAAAAATTCGTTGGTCCTTTTGAAGAGTCAGTATGTTTACAGAAAATCCATACCTTAACGTAGATCATCCAACCAGGTATTTTTGGACTGAAACTTTCAACATACATAAAAGGCGTTGTCGATAGCATTTTGCATAATTTAGTGTAGCCGAAAGTTCTCACATGAGTTAGCGAACGTATAAACAGGTATTCTAGCCCACGAACTCTGAATGGTCTGTTCTCAGTATTATAATTCAAAACAACCAGCAATGCCTGATTTTTATCACCGTTGATCTAAATATTTAAAGATCTTTCTGTCCACCACGAAGATACAAACCATCTTCCGCACCTTCTTCGTAATTTTAAAGGAGGAATATCAACACGTTTTTATGCAACAAACTCCTACAAGAGTCGAAGCAACTAATAAGGAAACTTTCACAGCGACCAAACCTTGGTAGGATTTAGCTCATAAACAGAGAACTTAAGTCAAGTTTTATCAGCAATAGGAAGAATCAGAATATATAACTGACTAGTAAAATTAACGCCCTAGTAAATAAATGGACTCCTTGTAACTATGAGGAATACTAAGGTAGGAATAAACGAGATTTGCAAAACACTTTAAAGAACATTCATTAATTTCGAATTTCAAATTTTACATGACAGAATCCGCAATTTATTCGTATGTTTGGATCTGAGTCTGGTTATTAAAAGATGGTACTTGATAACGAAATGTTGCCGACTTTTTTGTATCCCTTTCAAGGGAAAAGACGAAAGAGCCAATCTGTCCCTCAAAAGAAGGTTGAAATTTCATTGTCGTTCCGTAGATATTGAAGGTCATTATCCTAGATTTTACGCAGCTATCACTTCCAATCCTAGTAACCAACATGTTTTGCACTTTATTTGCAGAAAGAATATCATGGCAACCACATACTACATACAAAATAAAGCCACAGGATAGAAACAACTAGATTTTTAGTGTTCCATTTTTGTGTGGTGCTGGGGCAAACATAAGTATAAACACGTCAAGTCACTAAAGTCCACTGAGTGAAGCTCATCTAGAGTTGAAATCTTCAAACGAGAAGAAGAGCAAGGATGATCCATCTCATGTATCAGACCAATTCACAAGCTTGTAAAGCATACATACGGATTTAAGAAGACGAAAACTAAATCACAGTAGGAATGATGTAAGTGGGTGACAGGAGTAATTGGCACATAAAAAGGTTCAGTACACCCAGTTCGATTATTTAACATCACAAGAGCTATTATTTTACCAGGATTATATAAGCTTTTACTTTAAATAAGTGAAAATGGATCACAAGGTATCACTTATAGAACCGCAGAAATAAAATATTGTAAAGACAGAGATAAGCTATTCCTTGCATCGATCTCAGTTTAAAAATTATCGTTAGAATTCCACGGAGAACGAAAACGTTATTTTGCTACTTTCATGGGCCTAAAGCATTTTTCTTTTTACCTTGTATTTCGCAAAATTGTATTTTGTACAAATTTTTAGCGCTACAAACAGTCTTTGCGTTGCTCTCAAGGTAGTCGCGCATGTCGGGTAGGTGTTACTTGGTTTTTTTATGGTTGTTCAATCAAATGTTCATAACTCTTCTAAAGTTATTAAAATGCAACAAGGTAATTGAATACGTTAATTGCACAGCTCTGCTCAGAATCTCTCGGGGACTAATAATTATACGTTTGTACTGTGGGCACAGCAAAAGCGTATATTCAATCACGTAATAAAAAGTACAGATGATTGCAGTTACGTCTGGAGAGGGCTACACAGTACTGTCAATAATAAACTTTTGTCCTGATGGCTTGCAACACCGATTTCGAGGATTTTTCTCAGAATTCCCCAAGTTTTTGGGAAAAGAATACTAATTTTCATATGACTATCGGGGAAAACCACAGAATTTTTTTCCCAAAAGATTCGATGTTGGGGCTCTCATTCGTTTCCTGTGTGTTCATCAAGTGGTTGTGCAACGTTCACTTTTATGATTTCGAAAGTCACCATACATAAACGTTTGCATGTTTTGGGTAACGTGAACTTTGACACACGTGTTTATAAAGGGTCTCCCCCAAAATTAACATAAACGTGTTTTCGACCTTAAAGGACAGCTTCTAAATCAGTTGTAAGTGCTAGTGTGGTTCTTGTTATTTGCTATATGCATATTTGTTTCGTTGCGATGTGACATACTCAGTCAGTCAGTCAGTCAGTCAGCTGCAACGTAGGACTAGGCACGTATACGCATCGGTCCAAGTTGCCATACCGCATTAGCACAACAAGATGAACACCGGATTCATAGAAGTAGTCAATTCAGTGGTGGTAATATATAGAAGAAAGAGTGTGTATAAGGAGATAATACAGGAAGAAAGAATTAGTTCGTAGAAAGAAAGATATGAAGTGATTTTAGTCTCTTAGTTTGAAGGAAGACAGAGAGTGTATACACCGACGCCATTGTGATCGATTCTGAGCCATGTCACCAAGAGTCTCCAACCATTGGTTACGATAGTCACGCGGACACCAACCAGGCAGTCTGAATCTCCCAACATGGCTCAGACCAGAAGTTAGTGACTTCAAGCACTGATGCCACGTTTTGGTTTGGCCGCCCCTAACTTTCTTCCAATTATCCCCTGCACTAGTCAGCATTGCGCGTCGTGGTAATCGGTGATCAGGCATACGCAACACGTGGCCCAACCATCTCAGTCGATGAAGGTTCATAACCTCATCAACTGATTTACCATCATTCACTAATACCCTGCAACTAACCTCACTATTACTTACCCGGTGATCCCAGCAGATGCGAGCAATATTTCTAAGGCATCTGTGGTCAAATACTAGTAACTTACGAGTATCTTCTACTCTTAAAGGCCATGTTTCACAGCCGTATAGTAGAACGGAACGAACTGCTGCGCAGTATACTCGACCCTTAATTGATAGACGGATATCTCGCCTTCTCCATAGATGACGTAAGTTGGCAAAGGCCAAACGAGCTTTTCGAATGCGTGCTGAGATTTCGTCAGACACCAACCCATTAGGGCTGATCAGACTTTCAAGATAAGTGAAGTTGTCAACGCGTTCGACAACTTCACTCCCTATCCTTAGTTCAGGTGTTGACGCAGACCAGTCCTGAAGCAACAACTTGCATTTAGAGGGAGTGAAGCGCATCCAAAACATTCTGGCCTTGTTGCTCAGTGCTACCAAATTTATTTATTTATTTAATTTATTTTAACACATAAGTATAGGTACAGGGAGGCACCAAATACATATGCGCCACACAAATCTCAATTGATTTGTGTGAGGGCTGTGATACTGCCCGGGTGCCCAAACCGAAGCAGGTGGTTTTCTTAGGGGGCCACATCCCGAGTGCTACCAAAAGACTGCATTTCATCATCGTCTTCACCAAACAGGACTATGTCATCTGCGTACTCTAAGTCGATAAGTGGACCCCCTGGTAGGAGATCAATACCCGAGAAGTCAGTCGATGAGAGTGTTATTTCCATTAGTAGATCTATGACGAAGTTAAATAAAAATGGAGAAAGTGGACAGCCTTGACGGACATCGCTTGAGGTTGCGAAATCAGATGACGGTTGGCCATAAGCTCTGACTCGAGTAGTAGCGTTCGAGTAAAGAGCCTTCACAAGGTTTATGTACTTCTGAGGTACGCCTTTCAATGACAGACACTGCCACAGAACCCCTCGGTCAACAGAGTCAAACGCTGCTTTTAAGTCAAGGAAGACCACCATTGTCGGACGCCGATAAGTATGCCTGTGTTTTAGAACCTGACGAATGGTGAATATGTGGTCGATGCAGCCACAACCAGGTCTGAAGCCAGCCTGATTTTCACGTGTTCGCAGTTCATGAGTCTTAGTTAGGCGTCCGAAAATTATCGAAGCTAGTATTTTAGATACTATATTAGTCAAACTAATCCCTCTGTGGTTGTCACAGGATGATTTTGACCCTTTCTTAAATATTGGGTCGATAAGTGATTGTGACCAGTTAGATGGGATGACGTCTAACTCCCAGATTTTAGCTAAAATATTAGTCAACCTAATCGCTAAAGCTAGACCACCATCCTTAAAGACCTCTGGGGCCAATCCATCTAGACCAGCTGTCCTTCCTCGTTTCAGATTAGCTATAGCCTTTTGAACTTCAGCTAGAGTTGGGGGACCTACTTCAATGTTCCATTCACACTGTCTGGGAATAGAGGGTAGTTGTAGAGTAGCTGAAGGCCAGCTAAACTGCTCCTTAAAATGTTCCACCCATCGTTCTAAGCGTCTGGACTGGGAGCAGATGAGAGTGTCGTCTTTTTCCGAAACAGTTTGACTTACACTTGATTTATTAATTCCAGTTTCTTTTATTAGTCTGTGGAGTTGTCTTGTGTTCCCTATAGCCGCCGCCTTTTCCATCTCTTTTGCTTTCGTTGCCCACCACTGCTCACGATTATTCCTTAGACTTTTGCTTAATCTAGATTTGATTTCTTTACGCTCTTCATCGTATTCAAAACCTGATGGGATGAGTTTGCGAGAATCTATCAGTGCAATAGACCTTGACGAAATCCATTGGTTTTTTGTAACCCTGTGGTTTAAGTCACTAGTAGATGTCACTGCTGTTTCCACAGCTGCTTGTATAACTTTCCAAGCAACATCAGGGTCAGCCTCGTTTTCAGAACTACCTGAGTGTGACCTCAGTTGATCCTGGAACTTACTTTTGGTTTTCTCATTACTCAATTCGGTTCTAATGAGTCTTTTTTGCGTCCAGTGAGGCGCAAGCAGATGCGTGCTCGTATTAGGGCATGGTTGGAGTCCAAACAGGTACTCCAGAATGAGCGACAGTCTTCTATCGACCCTCTCCAACGATGACTGATGGCAATATGGTCTATTTGAGTCCATCGTTGGTTCGGTGCAGGGGGTCGCCATGTCAGACGGTGTCTGTCCTTATGCTTAAAATTTGTGTTTGCTAAAAATAAATAATTGTCTGAGCACAGTTGCAGCAGACGATACTAATTTATCAGTACTCGGCGAGACTACAATTTATGGACGTTCGTATTTAAGATAACAGGTCCTTGATAATGGTGCGGAATTCATTCACTCTCATTGGCAAATAACATTCAAGCATTATAGCTGATATCGTTTCGATATAAAAACCTTAAATCTAATTTCTTACCCTAACACCCATTTTTTATTTGAACTCAAACACTGGTACAAGAGGACACCAAATACATACGCGCCACATAACAATTAGGTTGTAAAGAGATAGTGCGTATAATAAAAGGACAACAACGAACAGGAATTAGTGTGAGTGAAATAATAATAGTAAAACAGTTCAGTTAGAAAAAACATAACCAGAGACAGTCCTTTCAGTCAAAGAAATTTCGTTCATTTTTATGAAGAAAGTTAAAGCAGGATAGCCACTTGCTTCTGTTCTGGGCCATATCTGATAATATCTCTAGCCACTTCGTTGCACCCTCTCTAGGACTTCAACCAGGGAGTCGTGAAGGACCATCAGAAGCCAGTCCTGTACAGCTTTCCTTCAAACCACGACACCATGTCATACACTGACCACCCCTCCACTTTTTCCAAACGTCGGAAAATATTGCACGACGTGGAATTCTCTGGGACGATATTCGTAGAACATGTCCAAGCCACCGAAGTCGGTGTTTCAAGATGGTGACATCAATTGCATTATCGTCTCTGTGACCGAACACTCGATGCCGAACCTCTGCATTACTGACATGGTGTTGCCACTGGATGCCAGCAATCCTTCGGAGACAACGATGATCGAACACAGAGAGTCGTCTAACATCCTCAACTCGGAGAGGTCAGGTTTCACAAGCATAGAGCAAAACTGCTCTCACTGACGCGTTGTAGATCCGACTTTTTACAGCCAGGCTGACCACGAAGGTGCCAAAGGTGACCCAGATTGGCATAAGCCGCTCTTGCTTTCACTATTCGTGCATCGATCTCATCACTCACGCTATCACCAGCACTTACACAGCTACCCTGGTACACAAACCTTTCGACTACTACCTGCTGACTACCCAGGGTAAGTGCAGGATCCTGCCAGTCTTGTAGAAGTACTTTGCACTTGGAAGGTGCAAAGCACATACCATACCTACGGACATTGATTGCCAACTGATTAAGTGCGGATTGCATGGCTTGGGCATTCTCGCACAGTAAGACAATATCATTCGCATACTCAAGGTCGAGAAGTCTTTCTCCAGGTAACAGATCCACACCACCATTGTCTACATCCATCAGATCTGTTTCCAGAACGTCATCGATAGCAAAGTTGGAGAGGAATGGTGAGGTTGGGTAACTCTGCCTAACCCCACTACTTGAATAGAACAGTAGAGAGAGGTGGTTTTATGTTTTCACTCTGCCTTAGTTGTTAGTATATAGACATTTCAAGATGTTAACAAACTTCCTAGACACACCTTTCTTCAATAGATGGTCCTAGAGAACAGTCGTGTCAAACGAATCGAAGGCGATGCTCACGTCAGGAAACACTACGATTGTTGGCCTGTGATAAGTATGACGGCGTTCTAACATTTGGCG